CATGGAAGTATTTAGGAATTGCATATTGTAGAATGCAAATAAAATAGTTTCTTGAAATGACTGAAAATAATATGTTATACTTCATTATCATTTTGACCACTGTTTTAATCTTAATTAACTTCTTATGGTTTTGTAAATGAAATATATATTGCAGAAAATAAAAATGATCTCCTTTATCCGATGAAATCCGACATTTTTGTTTAAAAATAGAAAAGTTCTCCACATCTTACGACTCCTAAAATTCTTATACGTTTTGGTTTAGGTAAGATGTAAGTGGTAAATATAAGCCATCTTTGAAGCCATGTTAATGGCTGAGTGAATTAATAAGTTGGTATTTTACCTGGACTTCTGGAGTTTCTGTTTCTGGCATTATTTATATATGTTATTGCCAACAAAAGAACAAAGAGAATAGAAAACTGAACTGACCATTACATTTGGGTAGGTCTTCTTGGAAGTGTGGCCCCTTGTGTTTTATATGGAAGTAATGTTGAAAGACTTGGATCTGCTCCTGGAACATTTTCAAATCATTGTTTGCCTTACTCTGGCTTGTACATGATTGGTAATTCTTTCTTTGGTTGGAACTGCCTTGCACCATGGTTTTCATATCCTACTCGTACTGCTATTCGTCGAAAGTTTAACCTAGAGGTGAGACATTCTTCCTTTTCTTCCTTCCTCAGTTGTGGTGGTAAGTAGGCTGGTTTTTTGATTAGTTGAAAAGTGGGTTTTATTTACATGTTCATATTTAAAGAGACATGCTCATCTTTTTGCAAGTTGTAGCGTCTTCCTATCGTGATTTGAATTTTCTTTTCTCGTTTAGGATTCTAGTTCTTCTTCTACTTAGGCTAAATAAACTTTGTGGAATTCAATTGAAATTCATCCAAAAATGATAAAGAGTGACATCCAAAACAATTATAAGCAGAATTGAGGCAATACAATTCAAATTTTTTCGGTTGTCCTATGACAAGGAGCACTGCTTGAATCCACATCCTCAAAGAGGTAGATAGAAGTACCAATCATCCAAATAAAAAAGATAATTTATAAATGTCATCAGTTTTGATATAATTTAAGATGTATTGCCCCAGTTCCTCTTGAAACTGTTTGGAAGATACACCATTAAATCCCTTCGAATTGTTATTTGTTCCATTTGCTCCTATTAGTCAATATACTTTAAAAGAACCGTGCCTGCTCCCTCATCTCTCTTTTTTTAAAATTTGTTTTCCTTTTCATGGCGCCTGCCCTCTTCATGTCTTAATTTGATTTAATTTTCTAGTTTTTGAAAAGAAAAATTACAATCAACAATCTTCATGCACTTGATAACTGTTGTTTATGGAGCATAATACATGTGACAGACAAATGCAGCATATTTGCAATGGGATTTGCCTATACCATATTATTGTACTGGGAATTGTTAGAGGTATATAATGACAGTGTTGTTCAAGCTCTTGGATTAGTTTGGTTAGACTTGATTCCATTCCATGGTTTTTGGTGAGAACAGGGTAGCTGTGAGGCACTTAATAGGTCATGTGGGTGCTGTGGAAGCTGTGCGGAGGATGAGCTGCAACGAGAGCAATGTGAGACCGCATGTGATTTTATGACTCATGTCCTCTGCCACAGCTGTGCCCTCTGTCAGGAAGGTCGTGAGCTTCGTCGACGGCTGCCCCATCCTGGGTTCAATGCACAACCTGTATTGGTTATGATCCCTCCTGGGGAACAAATGATGGGCCGCGAGGCTTGAGGGGATTAGCAGCATTTACATCTGTTGCTTCATTGATTAGCATGGAGAAGCTGTATCATGTCTATACATCCATTGGCAGATTTGTAGTGAACCTTGTGTTCATTGTCTTTAAAACTTGTTTACTCGTTTTGTTATACTCCAATAAAATAAAAAATTGAGGACCTAGCCTATGTTTTTGTTTATAACTACACTAAAAGAAGTGTTTTTATTTGTAAATGTTGCATCTGTCTACTTCTAAAGTGTGATGTATTCATAATGTGTATTTCTAGTTTGGGATTTTC